TGTGTGTGTGTGTGTGTGTGTGTGTTTGTATGTATTTACGCTACAAGCACAACCAAGCGAGAATCTCTATCTATAAATTTAAACGATGCTGATCACAGACCAGTCACATTCTGCAGTTCTGATGGGTATATAGTTATCAACTGTGTGCATCGCTCCCTTCCCACCAAATCGACACAATTTAAGTCATTTAGAATACGGGCTTACATGGGTCTGAATGCTGGAGGATGACTGATCATGATCGTGCCAAGCTATCTTCTTTTCATACCAACAGCTTACTCCAAGTCCTCCGAATCTTCTGGCCCGACAAGATTTCCAACGCAGATCTGTTACGTAAATTTAGGCAAGAGGACATGACCACCATAATGACAAAGAGAAGATGGAGATGGGTCGGGCATGTTCTGAGAAGAGAACCAGACTCTATTGTAAAGACTGCCCTCCTCTGGACACCCGAAGGACATCGCAAGAGGGGCAGACCCAAAGTGACCTGGAGACGCACAGTAGAGTCTGAAATGAAGTTCTGGAACCATTTGTGGGGGACGTTGACCAAGATTGCCCAAAACAGACAGGGATGGAGATCCTTTGTTGGTGCCCTAAACGCCAGATGGCGTAACGGGTAGTAAGTAAGTAAGTAAGAATGCGGGCTGCTTCCCACCTGCGTGTTAGGGTTAACGTGACTTTGTGTCGAGAGGAAATACCGCAGATCAGTAAGCCGAATGGGATACAGTCATGTAGTTGATACGGTATTGTACATGTAACTTCCCAACTTGAGAATCGAACTCGCTTCTTCTGCTCACAACAGCTAACACAGAGCATTATCACTACGCCACAGTCGCCAAATCTGATGGCCAGTCGATGCTTCTTTGTGGGGGAAACATTAGATAAAATACAACAACCAACATAATATTCTTCAACTCCAGACATCACTGCATACTACTAAACATTCTTAATTTCAAAAAGTGCATTTGTCTTAACAAAAACAGACATTGAAATGTGAAAGGACATTGCTAATAACATTTATATTGACAGTTCACAAAATGCCAAAGTAACTAACGCACGCACAGTGTTAAGTGTTAAGAATGTCTACATTATTGTTCCTTGAGACTCCGCAGTATATTGTAAGTAGTGTTCTAACGGTCGTTAGATAGTGGTTCCGACTTCAATTCTAACGGTTGTTAGAACGTAAATTTCTCCTCAGTTCTACAGGTCGTTAGATGGCACCTCAGTCAAAACGACCGTTAGATGCTGCTTCCCTCCTCACTCGGGTCTAACGGTCGTTAAATGGTACCTCAGTTCTTACGGTCTCTCTTCCACGTGATGGTATCTCAGTTCTAACTGGTCTCTCTTCTATGTCATGGTGCCCTTGTCCTAACGGTCGTTAGATGGTAAATCTCTCCTCAGTTCTAACGGTCGCTAAATGGTACCTCAGTCTTAACGGTCTCTCTTCCACGTGATGGTATAGTGTTTCCGGCACGGGTGTCCTTGTAAATCCTCCCTCAATTCTAACGGTCGTAAAACGGTACCTCAGTTTTATCGGACGTTAGATGGTAAATCTCTCTCCTCAGTTCTAACGGTCGTTAAATGGTAACTTCGTTAAATGGTACCTCCGTCCTAACGGTCTCTCTTCCAGGTGATGGTGTAGTGTTTCCGGGCACGGGTGTCCGGCCTGTCAGAACCGGCCGTGTTGACATGAGAAGCTTCACTGTATAGGTCCCGCGACAAGGCGCGTCTCCGGAAGCAGCACCTGAAGGCGTCGGCGAAGCTCTGGCGGAACCGTTTGTTCATGAAGCAGTAGGTGATCGGGTGTATGCAGGAGGAAAGGTAGGACAGGAGGAGGAAGGAGGACTTGAGGAGGGGCGTGAAATGGTCCCTGGCGCTCCTGTAGTCGATGATACTCCAGGTGTTGAGGAGGAACAGCGGCGTCCAGCACACGAAATACTCCAGCACCACCACGCACAGCATCTTCACAACCCGCTTTTTATTGGCCAGAACCCGCGAGTTGTAGGCGGGGCGTAGCACGTTGAGCTGGTGCTTCCCATTGGCTGACGTGGACTCGCACGACACCGAGTGGGTCACGTGACGACGCGGTAGGAGGGGCGACTGGGTGATGGGCGTGGTGTAGCCATTTTGACCCCGGTCTTTCACTTCGTACCGCTGAGGGTCGGACTCTGAAACAGATGACACGACATTGCAATATTATACAAGGATAATATGCAAGTGAATAGAGAATAGAAACATAGTTATTTTTAGTTTTAGCTTTAGTAAAAGTTTTTTAACGGCATTTGCAACACAAATAAGTCATATAAGTTCGGAAGATAAGAAGTGTTAACAGAGAGTAACATCTCCGCCCCCCCCCCTAAAAAAAGACTTTAAAAAAAAAGAGGAGGAGAGATAAGGAAAATAATTTTTTGATAAGAAAGAAGAAGGAAATAAACAGTCAGGACACCAACCAACCACCCACAAACACAATGTAATCGGCAATAGACAAATAGAGGGTCGTTTGAAACTCCAAGGTATCATTTCTCTGCGCCTCGCTTGCTTTGTTAACATTCATGACGCACATAATTTTATTATCTGAACATGCATAACAATAAAAGAAATAACAACCACCCCACAAAAACAACAACGAAAAACAAAAACAAAAAACAAATAAAACAAAACCCCAACAAACAACAGCTGTCTCACACATTCTCATAGCAGGTGGTTGGCGTCTGCTCTGGTGTAGTTTGCTTCTTCTTTCCTGTCAAACACTGTTCGTCCTTATCTCTCATCCTTTTTTAGGTGTCTGTTACTCTATTGTAACACGGCCAATCGTTGGTACTAAAAATAATAATATGACCTTATCGTATTGCAAGTGCCGTAAATCTCTTACTAAAACTAAAGACCGTCGTTGAAGGTCCGATGTATTTAATTTCCTATTCTTGGAATGATTTGATCTTGTAATGACACTAC